AGGCCAGTGGCACCTCCCAGGAGCACAGGTGTGTGGGACGGGTTCTGGCAGCTTTCAGTTATCTTCTTGTGTGGGGGTGGGGGGAAGGGGTGAGTTTGGGGGGAAGAGGGCTTCAAAAAGTTCATGGAATGCGGAATGAAACGATAATCAACATGGTTGAAACCCCTCCTACGTTACCCAAGGGCTGGAGAGAGAATTATAATTTAACAATTAATGCTGTGCTCAAAGAGGAACCAATAACCCTAACTGCCTTAGATTTCGAGAAAGCATTGACCCCAGGTTGACAAGGCTTCCTAAGACAGGTCGTCCTGTTTCAGGTCCCATCAGGGCTCCGAACACGGTGACTTTTGGCAGGTGCCTTTGCTCCTTCAGCTCGGTCTCTCTGAATGATGCCCAGTGGACACTAAGTGAGTCCGTGGTGATGAGGAGCATCTCAAGTAACTATTAAGTTGTTACTGGTTGATGGCAAAACAGGTAATTCATACACCATGCTATTAAAATGTCAGCTGATGATCCAGGTGTGTTTCTGCAAGGCGACAAACATCCGTCTCTCCACATAACTGGATGTCACCTTAATGCTCACAGCACACCTGGGCATTTGGAGTTCTGGTTTCATATGGGCATGGCCTACACGTCAATGCCCTGCTGCTACATTTCACCTTATTATCTCACAGAAAAGTAGTTCCACAAACCAAAGGTCAAGCACACCTGTAAAACCGGAGAGCGATTTCTGGTTGATCAGAATAGAAGTGGTTGCTTCCAATACAGGCAATGGCTTCCACGTGAGTGTTGTCTTGTTTCAATACGTCTTTGTAGTATTCCGCTGCTGATGAAATATTGTTCATTTCCTGTGGGACATCAAGACAGAACGATTATGTCACTACATACAGTGGCCAGGTAAGGCTTTTCTGCTTCACTCACCAACCTATTGGTTGGGAGCCCACCACATGTGGGAGCCTGTTCTAGACCCTGGGGACAGCCGATGAGCAAGACAACGACGACGGGCAGGAGAGAGAACGTCGGCAGGCTGTGGGCTGTGGAGTGAGGCAGAGCAGGGAAGAGAGGGAGGTGCTGCTTCTGATGGGTCCTCAGAGGAACCACTTCAGAGGGAGCTGTTTGTCCAGAGCCCTGAATGGAGGAAGCCGTCAAGGGAGACCTGAATGAGAAAGCTGTGGGGAAGAGCATTCGTCTCTGCCATGCACCGTGACGGGCGGTGGACGCACGCCTGGTCCAGACAAGAGCCACACAGGTGAGGGAGGCTGGGATGAGGAGAGTGGCACAGAGGAGACCAGAGAGGGGGCCAGGAGCTTTGTTGGCCATAGTGAGGAACTCAGACTTTTTAAATGATCGTTATTGATTGAAGGACAGTCATTGTAAGGACTGTCCTTACAGACTGACCAGGAGAGATGCCAGCAGTCCAGACTGAGTTCAGAAATACAGATAAAACCAAACGCTACAGATATCGTCGAGAGCTACTAAACACACGCTTTCTAAAATACTGACAGCCATAAATGTGTATCACTATTAAGGAATGTGGTCTCTGGCAAACCCACCCGCAGAGCCCAGTTCAAACCCCACATCCATCTAGAAGTTTCCCCTAGTGCCTCACGGTACACGGCTCTCTCAGCCTCTCAACTTCCATGTGTATGCCATGAAAGCCTCACTTGTTTTCATCATGAGGACTCATTTTTTTTAAGATCTTAATCATAAAATATTTGGTATGTTGTTGAATGCAAAAATGATGATCGCAGAGGTAAACACCACGTGTACATATGTAAACTCACAACAAAAAGTTTTAAAAGATTTTTAAATCACATCTAAGAGATACTGCCGATTATCAAAATCGCCACGCCGAGCTTTATCACGTAGACTGTTTAGCGTACACTCATGGACACATTTATTCAGGATTCCCCGGATGTAGATTTTTATCACACATCGCCCTCTTGCAAACCTTTTTATAAAATATAAGGAAGATAAGTTGGATATAACAAAAAAAAACCCAAACTCATTTCCAGTCCCTGAAAAAGGGCACGCCGCGTGGTCAGTGAGGAAGAGGAAGCGACCCGGTGGCTCAAAGGAAACAGCGGTGATCGTGGTGTGCAGGCGGCAGTGCTGTGCAGGCGGCAGTGGGTCCTTCGGCTGTGCACAGAGCTGCCTGAGTTGGACCCGGCCTGACAGCATCGCCACGGCGTCGGTGTCGACTTAGGGTGACCCCACAGGGCAGAGGACTGCCACGGAGGGTCGCCGAGGCTGGAAGTCTCTAGAGGAGCAGAAAGCGTGTCGTCCTGCTCCTGAGCAGCCACGGGCAGAGTCGACTACTGACCTGGCAGCTATCAGCCCACTGTACTGCCAGGGCTCCTGAGCAGGAATGTGCGACCTCCCATGGTCACGTTAGGGGACTTACGTCAGCACAGTGGCTCACAAAATTTGGGTCAAGACCCTTGAAACTCTTATTAAACACCACTGAGGACCCCACAGAAGTTTCATCTTTGTAAGATCCGTCTATTGGTATTTACCATCGTTGAAAAGGAAACTTGTTCATTTTTGTGTATCGTTTTAAAACATTTACTCATTCTAAAAATGGGATGAACCTTGAAAACATGGCAAGTGAAGTAAGTCAGGCACAACGAACAAGTGTCATATGATGTGACTTACATGTTACATGCAAACCCAAACCAAAGACAACCCCACTGCCAGTGAGCTGATTCCTAGAAGGACCCTATAGGACAAAGTTCACTGCCCGTGCAGGGTTTCCAGGCTCTAAATCTTTAGGAAGCAAACTGCCTCATTTTTCTTCCATGGAGTAGCTGGTGGGTTCAAACTGCTTACCGTTCAGTTAACAGCTGAGCACTAAACATTAGGACACCAAGATCCTTAGGGGGAAAAAAAGGAAAGAAAGAAACCCAGTGCCCTGGGTCCCAACGCATAACCATCCTAGAGGACAAGGTAGCATGGCCCCAGAGGGCTTCCCACACCACAGATCTTTCCGGAAACGTGAGTATGAGGCAGTGTGTAGGAAAGGCAAATTCACAGGAAGAGGGGAAAAGTGCATGTGAGGCAAACAGGCACCGAGAGGCAGGAAGAAAGGGGAGTCATAGCGTTTGAGGTAAAGAAAAGGTTTGGGAAATAAATGTATGATAGTTGTATACCTTGTGAATGTAATGAATACCACTGGGTTGCAGGCTTAAGAACTGCTAAAACGGCAGTGTGTTTATTTATAGGATGCTGCTGTTGGCACGGTGGTTACACAGTGGGTTGCGATGGAAGGTCAGCAGTTTGGAACCAGTAGGCGCTCCGAGGAAGGAAGACGAAGCTTCTCAGACAGTCTCAGAAACTCACAGGGGCAGCTCTACCGTGTGCTACAGGGTCGCAGTAAGCTGGCACCGACTCAGAGGCAGTAAGTCTGGATCCTGCTGTTGTGAGCCAACCTTGTGCTGACTCATATCGACCCTGACTATCTATGAAAGAGGAACAAAAAGTTGCTCAGGCTGCACCATCTCAACGGCATGGCTCTTCCGGCCTGTTGTTGTAGTCACTGGGACAACCCCTCATGGAGGGTCTTCCTACTGTCCTCTGACCCTCTGCTCCACCCAGCAGGATGCTCTTCCCCAGGGACTGGTCTTGAGAACATGTGAAGCAGATGAGACCAAAGTCTCCCCCTCCTCAGTTCTAAGAGGCCGCAGGCGGTGCCTTGTCCAAGGCACGTTTGTTTACTCGCTGGCAGGCCGACCCCGTAGTGCAAATGCACCGACTCTCCTGCCCTGTGGGCTTCCTTTCTCACGGTCCACAGTCTGCACCCGTACCAGGAGACTGACAAGCTCGTGGCTCAGCCGGCTGCATCACAGTCCTCAAAGTGATCATTGCTTTTGAAGATTTTAAAGAGGTCTTGTGCAGCAATATATTAAAAATCCAATAGGTTTAAAAGGCGACCTTAATCACACTCTAAATGTTCATATGGATGAACATATGTGGATTCCATTTTGGTCCTGTAATTGACCCAATCGGCATGAGAATTGCTTTCAACAATAGTAGTTCTAACATAAATTTCATTCATATAGATTTAAAGTAACATTTCCAAGTACACAAATAACTTTGGTATCATGCTAGTTATTACTAAAGTGGTTATTGTTAATTCCCAAACTACTCATTGGAATTAGATTCTACTTATTTAAAAGTAACTTGTAAAGCAAAGAAGTGATGTTGCAATAATCATAGTCGCCTAAGAAGTGTGGGAAAAGGAGACACAGGAAGAGAGTGTATGTGGACAAGCTCTCAACTGATAGATTAAGGGTCTGGGAGGCCGGGCCTCAGGGTCTAAAGCGGAGTGGTGTTCCAGTCAACATTTGCCTAAGTTATTCCCCACAATGTCCCCCCATATAATGCCAATTTTGAAGTGCTGTTTGCAAGCACATGGTCGCTTACTATACTCTTGAAAGTCAACTGCTTGAAGACTATCTGCCTAGAGGTTATCTGCCATCGAAAGCAGTCAGACCCTAACCCTAAGTACGGCCCACTGCCCTCTGAGAAGGATCATAGAACCTAGATTATCCCCTGGAGAAGAGCTCAGACACCTAAGGTCAGGCCAGCATGGAAAGAACCAAGGTTAGGCTGCCCTCTTGACTCGAGAACCCACCCATCTTGTTACGTATGCACCTTTGTGTCACATGCATGCCTCTTGTGCCTCCCCTTTCTACTGCGTGTGTACCCCTAGCTCGTCCCCCTCCCTCTTACATGCATGCCTCTAGTACAACCCCTTACTGTGACTGTTTGTTAGAGATACATTACTCCCTCATCCTGGTTCCGGTTGACATGGAAGAGGTGAGCCCTTGCGTGCTTTCTCTTGTTTCATGTCTCTTTAATGTACCCTTCAATTACACACCCACCCCCTGGGATCCATTCAGCTGTGGAGGCTGGTTCCCACAAGGAAGTTTGTTCAAATGGCGAGGGTCCCTCTTCCAGGAGGAGGTGCTGTATTTCTAAACACCCAAGGCACTTCTCAGACGGTACAAAGTTCAAGATGCTGTGGGTAGGCGTCGGGCCACTGACTGCAATGCTGTTGGCTCAAACGCACCTCAGTGTCTGCTCTCATAAACATGCACAGTCTCAGAAACCCTATAGCAGGTCCCCGTGAGTCAGAATTGACTGGATGGCCGTGGGAAAGCTCAGGAACCACTAGAATACTCTCGCCTAAGGTAAGATTTCTCATTGCAAACCTCTTGTAACAAAACAAACCAACTCACTGCTGTCCAGCTGATGCTGACTCAGTGACCCTATGGGTCAGGGTAGGGCTGCTCCTGTGAGTTTCAGAGACTGTCACTCTTTATAGGAGTAGCAAGTCCCATCTCTCTCGCACGGACTAGCTGGTGGTTTTGAACTGATCTTGAGGTTAGCAGCCCAATGCTAATCTCATGAGTAACTACTTCGCCACCAGGGATCCTCTTTGTAACAAAGAGAACACGGAAGAGATGGGTGCTTTGGCAAAATGTGGCCAAAAATTACATAGTGCGCAGCTACCAGATAAAATAGCACCTGGGGTCTTAACAGCTTCTCTCCAAATTAGTAGCCATTAAGTCCACGTGGAAGAACCACATCATCAGTTACCAAAGGATTGTAAATTATATAATCTGAAGTCGAAGGAGGGATCAGTACCAGAGCCTAAACTGTGAGAATCTGGTTTGCAGAAACCGGTTATGGGTAACAGTGGGAGCCCAAGATACACTGATGGGAACTGCATAGGAAACAAGCCTCCTGGGAACGCCCTCTATCCACAATTGCGGGATGGGAAGAAAGAGGTTACTACACAGAGGGTGAGATAAATATGGAAGATCAAAGACACAAATCTGACTTGAGCAGTTAAAACCTTGTCAGTTGATCCCCCCTCTGAGGCATGCTGCACCTGATCTGGTGAAGTTTTCTGTAATTTTGTCTTGTTTTTGTTTATTTATATTAGGGTTTATCTTGGAGGTGTTATGCTATTGGAGGTCACCCTCTTGAAGTTGTGTTATAAGTATTTTGGTATATGAAACCCAGGACTGAAATAGGACAGCAAGCAGAATAAGGGTTTCCAGGTACGGGGAGTACAGTGGTGGTGGTGGTAGTGAGGGGTAAAGGGAGATGATGTCAGAGAGTCCAGGGAGAAAAATGAATGTTTGGAAACTTATTGCAGTAGCAACTACACAATTCTGCTTGATGTGACTGAAGTATGGAATGATCTATTATATATGTATTAACTCACAATTAATAAACCAAAAATCCATATGCTATCATCCAGATATAGCAACTAGTAATACTTCCCATTCTTTTTTAACAAAATAATTTCTAAAAATTATATCAAGCATTTATAAAGACTCTAAAATACAATAGGAGGTGCTTCTGTTAAATATTGTATTGGTGGTCCTAAATAATAAAAATACAAAAAACAACAGGATAAAATAACCAAAAGGAAGAGAATGATGTTTCATTAGCAGATGGTGATTATTTACTTGGAAATACCCAGAGAATCTCTGGACAAAGAATCAGAATTGAAAAAGACTGTTTATCCAGGTGGCACAGTAGTAGGTGTTGTGCTGCTGACTGCAGGGTCAGCAGTTCGAAGCCACCAGCTGCTCCTCAGGAGAAAGCCTCGGCTCGATACTTCTGTAAACAGTTTACAGTCTTGGAAACCCACAGGGGCAATTCTACCCTGTCCTAGAGGGTCACTATGAGTCAGCGTCGACTGGATGGCAGTGAGTTGGGAGGTGGGTGTGGGGGGTTAGTATTTATCCAGGTTTCTGGTAGCAAGTCAGCTTTCAGAATGTAGTGCAGAAGGAATCCATTACAAAATACAGTAGGAAAAATAAGATTCCATTTACGATTCTAGGTAGTAACACATCTGTGCAGGAGAGTTAACAGAGCAGGCTTACGACTGCTGCGTAGAAAGGTCTGGTTGGAAGGCTAGTCCTTGGTTGGCGGTAAGGAATTTGGCGGGTCCTCCTACATTTACAGAAAACCTTTTCCAAATGGTAAGAGTCGCTCACTACACCTAGCCCACTTACACCAACAAGGTGGGTTAGGCTTACTTACTCTTCTCCTGGGAGTCTGGAATTTGGTGGCATGTTCAACATGCTTATGTGAACAGCCCCCCATCAATAACCTTCGGCTTCAAGTCTCTAAGGAGTTTCCTCGGAGACATTTCACACACGTCGCTACAATTCATTCTCGGTGGGATGAAGTGTGTTGTGTGACTCTGGTTTCCTCGGGTCTGGTCCTATGAGTTTGTCCCCTCTCCCAGCAGTAAATCTTGGCTGTAAGTACAACCATATGCTGAGCCCTGTGCGTCCCTCTAGCCAATTATCAAACCTGATGGCTGTGTTGGGAACCACCAGTAACCTCTTTTTGAACAGAACTGCAATATATTTACTGAACAACCGCAACAAAAAAGAATAATTAAGAGAAGGAAGGAAGCAGTCCCTCCCATTGTTCATGTATTTGACGAAATTTCAATCAACATGTCTACAGTATTTCTCTGGATCTTGAGAGTTCAGGCCTAACATCAATACGGGAGAGCAAAGGGCCAAGGTCAGCCAGCTTTGAAAAAGAACACGATGGTAGGATGCGCCCAACCTGACACCAGTGATTAATAAGGGCACGCTAATTGGGCAGCAGAGAGGGTATCTCAATCGGTTTTGCATGAAATTTGACAATATGGCTCCAAAATTTATAAGACCAAGCAAAACACCAAGTTAAATATATCTAGACTCTTCTAAGAAATATGGACAAGGTAGCCAACCTGATTTTAACTCTTATACAGCTATGCATAGTAATTAGGATGGCACATTGGTAAGAGGAGAGACAAATAAACCAATAGAGAGCCCCAAAACAGAACCACCCTAGGGCAAGTTGACGTTTGACATGAGAAAGGATCAATAGGGCTGATCAACTGGAGTTGGCTAATCTTTGCTTTCCCATAGTGATGTCAGGCCTCAACTATCAAGATGTCATTGAAATCCCCACCTCAAACCATTCGCTATACTCTTCTGTATGTCTGAAACAGTTCATCATAAATGCTTACTTTGTTAAGATGCACACACTAAAACGTCTTACTCAGAAGGTAGAGTCCACAGGCCAACAATCACAACTGTAGTAATTATTTTCCTCCATCCTAAGCCCATCAGCACATAGCTCGATTTTTATCAACTTTTTAAATAACAAGCACTTTACCTCATAGATCCTGGCAATTCCACAAAGTAGGGTCACTTCTCCCGGAAACTTTTCTAGACCTTGTTTGAAAAGATTCAAAGCAGTCATAGGCTGATCCAACGAGATGTAAACCTACAGCCAAGATGTATTCAACAAAACATATTAGGTCTTAACATAATAGTATTTACTATCACAAGTTCCTAACTATAGTTGCTAATCACAAACTGCCTCCTAGGTAATGGCAGTTGAAAAGGAATTTTCAGAAATGTGATAGGGTCATTCCCAAGAGCCAGGTCAGTTTCAATCCCACCTCTTGATCATTCAATCATTGCGGCAACAGACCCTGACTGGGAACGTGCGTATCCCAAGGCTCTGAAGGCACAGAGGTGACTACGACAAGATGCCTTCCCTTTCAGCCGACCCGGCAGAAGAGGGAGTGGTTCCAACCCAGAGTTATGAACGGCCTAAAAGCGGTGAGAGAAGCTGTGGTAGTTATATAATCTGATGTCAACTTGAGACTATTTAGAGTGAAGGGGTGGAGTTTACCCTGTCAATCAGGTCGCAGCTTGATGACCTCATTTGGAGGTGGAATGGAGATATATAGCTCACTGGAAGCCAGATACACTCACTCCCTGTGAGACATTCCTGTTGACAAGCCACATGGAGCTACACTGATAGAGCCAGAGCCCTGGAGCTGGAGGAATCATGTGGAGACCCACACCAGTGCTGAGATGCTTCCAGCACCACTGGATCCACAAGATTTTCCACCCACTGGCCTGTGATCTTCCTGTACTTGGCATCATTGCATGGCTGCATGATTCTAGACTAGTACCGACATATGGGGTAATATCGGAGTTATGGACTTGATCTGTTCTGGGCTGGGATGTTTTCTTAATGTACAGTTGCTCTTTGATATAAAGCTCTTTCTTAGACACATATGAGTGTCTATGAGTTTGTGTCTCTGGTCAACCCGGACTAACACAGAAGCCGCAGCTCTACCGGTTGAGCCACAGAGCAGTCCAAGAAGGGCATTTTCAAGGTGAGAAAAAGCACTTGGCAGGCTGCCTGCGTGGGCATCTCAGCTCCACCACTGGCCAGCCCATGGGGCTAATGACTTCTCTTTCCTGAGCCCTTATTTCTCTCCTCCAGGAAATGCAAGAGAATACACACAGCTACCACTGGAGAATGAAATGGCACGCGTCAGCCACTGCTGTCACCTGTGGCTGGCCCGCGTTTGAGACCAGGAGAGGAGGACAGAAAGATGGGCTGGGGCTGCTGTAAGCTAGTGTTCAAACTTTACACTACAGGTGATGGGACATCAGTGACAGCTCTGTCTGGGTGTGACAACCTGGCACAACACTGGGGGGTGCACTTCATGAGGATGCATTTTAAGGTGAGCTACATATCAAGAAAGCGGCTATGCAGACAGCTGATCCACGGATGGTACCTCTTCACATATTAAAAAGAAAACTCTGTGTGTTGGCGCGCACAGGGAAGGTGAGGCAGTAAGGAGAAATCAATGGGAGGCTGCTGAGACTGCCAACGGGGTCTCTGGCTCCACACCAGGCCACCACGGGGCCACGAGGGCTTTGCGGAGAGGTGTAAGAGGAAAGATCAGTGCGACTGGAGGTCTGAGTTGAGGGGACCGAGATCTCTGGGACAGGTGGGCAGATGCGTGGTGATGGGGTTCTCTGAGGTAAGAAAGGGTGAGAACAACATCTGCTGGCAAGGAAAATGGGAGAAAATTTTTGTTGAGACATGTTGGAAAGTCAAGGGCGCTCAAAGAAATCGGGGTCCGGGAAAAGGGCCTGGGAACCAGAAATCCCCTGGGTTGGCTGTGGGAAGGCAGTCAAAACAAAACAAAAGTTAAGCAGGGAATAACCATGTGATACAGCAATTCCACTGCTGGGTTTGTACCCCAAAGCACAAATGCCAATAGGTGCGTGTACCCCCATGCTCATTGCAGCCTGAGTCATAAAAGGTAGAAACCATCTCAGTGTCTACCCAGAGATAAATCATCAGTACTCACACTTATTTTGCCTACCACCCCCTGTTCAGAATAAAAATTGACGCAGCAACCCCCCAGCCATGAAAACGTTTGTGCTGTGACCCATAGTCGAGGCTAAAGTACAGGCATCTGCTTCTGCAGAGCCCCTGGATCGTTCCAGCCCCTCCAGAGGGGCAGTATCACGACTTTGGAAACCCGGAGATAAAATGTGGTACAAACATACAATGAGATCTTACTCAGCCTTAAAGAGAAAGGAAGTTCTGATACATGCTAGAACATGGGTTTGAAAACACACATATACACACACTCTCTCTCTCTCTTTGAACATATTAACTTTCTAAATAATCCTGGACAAAGTAGTACCTCTCCCCTGGCATTTACTCTGAGAAGACAGATGTCATTCAGATGAAGAATATGTACTTACTTTTGCTAAATAGAGAAACGTGTCTACCATTTCCTGCTGCTTCAGGGCTGACTTGAACTGTTTTTCTGCTTCACGATGCATTCCTAACCTAAGAAGAGCCATTAAAAAAATGAGCATTCAACTTCAAAAGAAACATGACAGCATTTATTCCTAGCCTGAACACATTCATATCCCCAAGGCTATGTGTCCAGATAAGCGGCACCTATAAGAGCAAACATGTATCAAAGAAGGTAGTGTCATATAAGTATACGTATATATATGTGTGTATACGCATATGTGTATGTGTGTATGTTTATCCAGTTTAGGAAGAAGCTGCTTCTTGCCCATTTTCACTGCCCACCTAACTTCTTGCCCATTTTCACTGCCCACCTAACCTCCACCCAGCATGTAAGTAGTCTGTCTGAAGCCTGGTCACAACAAAGCTACTAAGTGCCAGTCAGCCAGTTCATACCAGTTCACCACCAAAAGAGGTAATGGCCAACTGGACACAAGGCAAATAGCCTACATAAATGCTCGCCATTTTACAGGGAGAACTGAAGGACATTTCCTTGAGATTATTCTCTACTCTGCAACAAAGCCCTTTTAAAGCTAACCCCACACTACCCTGATGTAAGTTATACCTGCCATTGATTTGAGTAACAGAGTTAACATTTTTTTATTCTAGACCTCTTTTTTCCTCTGTTCCTCTTTTGTTCTCTGACCCAGCTTGTGTCCTAACAACCTACGAATGTGAGATTGGCTCCTCGTCTAAGTAAGATGGCCCTGATGTCAGCATCCATCCTCTTCTGCTCAGGCAACATCCAGTCGCTAACGCGCACACGGCTTTCGGTGCGCCTGTCCTTAGCAGGCCTGCTGCTGGGCTTCCTCGTCGCGCCTCATCTACGAGCGATTCAGCCTTTGTGGTCATGCTTGTATTGGTTTGGTAAAATAGAATCAGAACAAGACAAGTATGTTCTATTGTGCTACTTTCATGTAAAGTCTCGAACAAAGAGTTTTAAAAGGTATAATAAGCTTGTTTCATTTTGAACTTCTCTCTATGAACTAGGTGAAGATTCACCAACCAGAACATAGTTTTAGAGGCAGCAATTCGTACACATTCTGATTCAACTCATCCACCTCTGTCCTCTCACGTACCATCACTGAGACCACTTCCTCTCTGGGCTTCCTCTTTCCTCTTCTCCTAACTCACTGGACTTTGTCCTTGGGGACATGCTGTCCTTTTGATCTTAAATGGTGGATTATTCCAACATGGTGGCAAGTTCCGTTCCAGAATGAAGGAGAAGGCTCATAGTCTTGGGGGTCCCACCAGTCTCATCTGACCAGTGAGCCTGGTCTCGTGTATGATTTTGAGTTCTGCTCTACACTTCTCTCTCAATCTAACCAATCTAATAAGGTGATCCTTTTCAGAGCAGTTGATAGTAACAGCCAGGCACCATCTAGTTCTTAAATTGTAGCTGAAAGTACAGTGGCCATTACAATTACAAACCGAACTGTGTGGGAAGTAGTAAGGCCAGCGTGTTCCTTGGAGGCAAGGATGGCAGGACTTTGTCTTACCTACTTTAGACATGTTGCATGTTGTCAGGAGAGACCAATCCCTGGAGAAGGACATCACGTTTGGTAAAGTGGAGGGGTGGAGAAAAAGACGACCATCGCCCAGTGAGACGGACTTGACACAGTGACCGCATCAATGCCGCGGGCGTAGGACCGTGAGGGTGGTGCTGGACCCCGCAGAGTTTTGCTCTGTTGTACAAAGGGGCACCTGGGGCCCAGCCGACTCGATGGCACCTAACAACAACAGCATCCACTTCTTCTGGTCTCAGGGTTGTGGTGATTGAAGTTCCATTAATCCACTGGACTAATTGTCTCCATGTGTCTTCCAAATATCCCCATGGTCAGGGAGAGATAGATCCATAGTTGAACCTGCGATCTTTGCTTAGGAACTTTCAAGACCCCAGTTGCTACTTACACCAAATTTGGTTGTACAACATTGTCTTTGAGAGCTATGTTTTATGCCACGTGACCTTGGGGTCCCCTGAGACTGTGGTGCTGATACGCCAAGCCCAGTGGCTCAGTCCATCGGGGAGTTTGTTCTACTGAAGTTTTTGTTAACTTGCCCCTGCATACTGACCCTCCTCCACGGATGTACTTGCAGCAAAATTAAACACACATGCACGAATATCCTCTGTCACACTGCTGCAGATTCACGGGTAGATTCCCGTCTCCCTCTCCTGCCTGCTCAGCCTGGATGTCTACCAAGCATCTACTTATAGACCCCCCCCCACCCCCACCCGTGGCCAGATTGTATATTGAACAATCTCCCAGGCAGAGGTCCTTGCCTCTGTTACCTTTAACTCTTGAAGGTATTAATACTCTTAACACTACCAGGTAATGGTCAAGGAAATCCTTTATCAAATCAGCCCCAAACATAGTTTTCTTTCTGAGGAACTGTCTTCAGCCAGGGAGCGTGGGGACTCTGAATTCGGTTGCTGCTTTTAAGCCTTTCAAGAAGGAAGCTGGGCCTGCTTTTACCTGTAGTAACATTTTCCGATCTGCACCTTCCACCACCAGTCCTTGTACTGAGAATGCTCTGTGGACAGGGCCGCCAAATCCAAAGCCTTGGGAAGGAAGCCATTTGTGGTTAGAGTCCTCTTTTCTAATGACAAATTGCACATAATGAGATAAACGGCATCGTCGTCGTCGGCATGGGTTCAAACACGCACTGCAAATCCAACCCAAAGTGAGTTGCTCATGCTTCCAGATGCCCTCCCACCCCCACCCCTGACACACATGCACTTTCCCTGAAGGGCTCCGGGCCGGAGGGCTGACAGCAGAGGGAAGAGCTACAGTGATCAAAGAGACGCAAATGTGGGGAAAATACTAGTCATTAATAAAAATGTAATAGAGGAGGTACAAGATTGAGATTTAGAAAATTCACCATTTTCCAGCCTCTGCTATCATTTATTTACTGTTTAATAATTCAAAATAGCTCCAAGCCTCCGGTGTGTTAGCCGGGCTGGCGGCAGGCCCCACTTTACAGACGGAAGCAAGGACAGAGGAAGAGCAAGTGAACAGCCACAATCTCCCAGGCAGAGGTCAGAGGAGGCGTGAGAGGAGCCGGGTTATGGCGATGCCGCGATGCCATTCCCTCTCTGCTGCCCTGCAAGGGTCAGCCTTGGCTTTGCTTCAGACTCAGACCTTAACTGCTTTCATATTTGCATCTGTTTCTCTCATGTCTCTAGTGGCCCTGGCTTATTCCCTACGGCGTTTATTCAAGGAGTCCCAAGGTGGTGCCAACGGCTAAGTGCTGGACGACCAGCCGACAGGGTGGAAGTTTGAACCCACCCAGAGGCAGATGCTGGCGATCGGCTTCCCAAAGGTCACAGCCTGGTGGAACTAGAAGAACGTAATCAATGTCATATGAAAAAGTTGTTTGATTGGTGTTTGGTTTTGCTGTGTGTACTTTTAACAACAGTGGAAGGAACGAGGGAGGGAGGGAGGGAGGGAGGGAGGAAGGATGGATGGATTGATCCACCCCGTGGAGTAGGTCTCCTCTGCACACATGGGGTCAACATGAATTGGAATCCGCAGGAAGACAATTAACAACAGTCCTTGTTCAAGATCAGATAAGAGATGACGCAATAGGGATTAAAATTTTATACAGAAACAGAGATCATTTTACAAAGAGGAAAGCAAGTTAATATTTACACAATTTGAAACTCATAAAAATTAGAAGCGTATCTAAAGAGATGGTGAATAAACGCTTGGGTTATTGTTTAAAAGAGGATTCTGATTTTTTTTTTAAGTGCATCTGGGAAAATGCCCTTTGTTTAGTCAACGTTCATATAAGCATGATATCCAAGAACCCATTTAAAGCACTCTCTGTTTTTCTGTTCTCTTATCTCAAAATACATTCCTACTGGTGTCTGCTCCTGCGTAGCAAGTCTTTTCTGAAGGGAACGGCAGCAGAGCCCATCGGCTCTCCTTCTGCAAAATCAATCACTTTCCCCGGGGCCCATGTCCCTCTGTTCCAGGAGGGACCGCGTGAATAAGAGCCCTTTACCAAGGGATGACGCCACCGTGCTGAGGTCTGGATGGACTTGAAAAATCAACGCTGCACAGAAAGCGACCGAAACGCAAAACAAAAAACACGTTACTTGTGTATGCTCATTTCCCCTACAGCCAGAAGAAAAAAGGAAGCAAAAAGTATAACTTTAATTAGGATGATTTTTGGAAAATGTGAGGGGGAACTATTTGCCATCAAATCAGTTCATGAGTACATTGAATCTTAAATTAAT